ACAAATGCAATTGAATGTGTGAGATCACAAGGACTGCATATGAGCTAGGAATATGTGAGAGCTGTAATAAATGGGAGACTCATATTGAAACTGCTCTCTCAGACACAAACACTAGAGGTCAAATGCATTTTATTGAACAACAAAAGGAAAAAAACATTTCATTTTATACACAAAGCATGAAAAAAATTCACAATGTATGTTTTCACTGCACAAACTCAAAATGCATTTTAGAAAATGTCACATTTAATGACAACAGACTCTTTGAGGAAAACAAAATTAATTAACTTATTTAAAAAGCTTTAAATCAGCATTTAAATATGCCCAGTTAAAATGAATGATGCCTTTTCCTCATACTGTGTGTCTTTTAATATTTCACCATTTTTGATCAAATTCAAACTGCTCTAGTGTCACGTCGAACAACTCTGGCATTGAAGGCACAAGGTGCATCTATTGAAAAAGTGCAACACAAACCACAGGAACTACCTGTGTATTAAAACATAGAACCAACACAGAAGCATAATGGGAGTGTTGTTACTATTTTGTTAAGCTTGTGGTCAAAGCAAAGACAGCAGCAAAAAACAGGGTTGTCGTTGCAAAATTTGCATGAAAATTACATCATGCAAGACGCCCTTCTACAGCATGATGACATTATGAAGCTGAGGTATACGTTTTTATAGGATGTATCATAAGCCTGCATGTAAAACTCATGATTCTGTATACTCAATTATAAACATGTTATTTTTCACTAGAGATTAGTGCTAATGTAATTTCACTACATTCACTACCTCATTCAGATGAAAATCTGCGCTTGAGGTTTGTTGTTTATCAAAAATCCTAATACAAATCTAAAAAGGTCATGAATTATTACAAACAAGACGCAGGTGTTTCCAAAGGAAACACTATTCATATTCAGATATTCCTGCTGTAAAGACGTCAGCTGAGCTGTGTGCTTCATGATATCAGCACTTGTTGTGCAGATTCATAATTTCTCAGATGATACACTCATATCATAACCACTATAAAGAGCAATGGACTGCTTGGCCTTACCACTTATGATCAAAATCATTAAAAACAAGCTAGTAGAAATCTAATGCCTGATAAAATATCTAAAAGTGAGAAACACTTGTAATGCCACAGGTTTAGTACTAAAGTTACAAATTTAATCAAACTGTTAAGGACACAACTAAATGTGATTAAAAAAAAACAATTGTTCAAGTCTTTTGCACTTATGTTTTTTCCAACTACTTAACTGATGTTTAGGAAATACTGTATGGGCTCCTTGCAATTTATTGACTACCATCTGAAATGAGTAGCCAACCATATTTGTCATTTTAAACATCAGCCAATTAGCATCAACAGCATAAAAATAGAGCCAATTAGTATCTATTTCAAATTAAAATAAATAAAGTGACCAAAGATACACAACACAGTGCAAACGGTGCCTGAACTAAAGGAGAAGGGAAAAAAATGTTTTAAAAGTATTGTTAAAATTGTGTTAAAAAAAAAAAAAAAAAGTGTACCATAAAAACATGCCCAGAGGCACAAATTTAAATAAATCAGAACAGTATTGTCTTACCCTGTTGAGCATAAACTACAAAAATAAAAGGTTCAATAAATATTCAATTTAAAAACCTTCAATTTATGAGCAAGTAAATTTATAAATCTTGACATAGTCAAAACAACAAAAATATCAAATTTGGAACAAGTGTTGCCCAAAGTATACACTACAATAAACAAGCATTATATAATCCAGTTCACTGATGGAGTGGACAAACCTCATTTCCAACCATTTCATATGAAATTTGTTCTTTAGCTAATTATTGCTTTCTTTTCTTTTTTTAAATTGTCTTGTGTGTTTAAAATGGCAAGAGAATAGCCAATTCCAGTAAACGGGGTTTCAAGTTTCGAATCAAATATTTTAAAACCTCGTTTTTGAAATACTACGACGTTTAATATTTGGCAAATGATTTGGTGGCTGAGGAATGAAGGTGAACGTACGGCTGTGTAAGGCTGGTGAGGATGATGAGGGGTCATGAGTTGGTCAGAGTCGCCCTGTGGCTCGCTGCTTTGGGCTTCTGCTTGTCATACTTCACAGACACAATGAGGAAGACGAGGAGTGTGACTCCCTGAATGGCGGCCAGGAGGAAGAAGTAGTAATTCAGTGTGCACTCGTTGATGTTACCTACAGAGAGAGAGAAAAAAAGTGAGGGGGAAAAAAACCTCACTTTGATGTGAATTTCACAATACCCCAATTTCAGTAGTGGATAACAACTTCAGACATGATTTGGAGCACAGAGATCACACAACCTCTGTATACTGGTTGAAACAGAATTTGAGTATCGTTTCTTCAGGAGCAGGTCTCACATTTTTGGATTTTGATTTAAAAATAACAAGCCAAACAACAAAAACAAGCCAAGGTGATATTTCATATACTGTATTATATTTTTCAAAAATTATGATAAATGCAATGTGTAAACAAATGTGTCATTTACTTTGGACCTTCTGTTCATTTTAATCAGTTACTATTCCAGTAATTACACTTTCACTGAAAAGAAAAAAGCATGGCAATACATATTATTTTTCTTTAACTGATACTTCTTAACATCCTTCCTTTGCTCACT